TACTTGTCCTGTTAGATCTCAGTGGCCCATTTGATACAGTTGATCATAATATTCTTTTAGAAAGAATTGAATATTTTGTAGGAATTAAAGGTACAGCACTAGACTAGTTTAAATCGTATCTATCTGACAGATTTCAGTTTGTTCCATTAATGACAAACCTTCCTGATGCTCAAGGGTTACCTGTGGAGTGCCACAGGGATCAGTGCTAGGAACAATTCTCTTACTATATATATGCTCCCAATCGGTAGAATATTTAGACAGCATGGGATTAATTTTCACATTTTATGCTTATAATACTCAGCTATATCTGTCTATAAATCCAGATGAAGCTAACCCATTACATAGATTACAGGCATGTCTTAAAGACATAAAAACCTGGATGACTCTTAACTTTCTGCTCATGTATTCAGACAAAACAGAATAGTATTAGGACAAGAGTCTTTTAAAAAGAAGTTGATTTGTCAGTCATTTCATTTCGATGGGATTAATTTAATCTCAGATAATAAAGTAAAAAATCTTAGTGTTATTTTTGATCTGGACCTGTCATTTACATCTAATATCAAAGAGGTTTCTAAATTTTCCTTCTTTCATCTGCGGAATATTGCAAAAATATCCTGTCCAGGGGTGATTCTGGGAAACTAATCCATGCATTTGTTACTTCGAGGCTAGACTATTGTAATTCTTTGCTATCAGGTAGTCGACAAACTGTAGTTAAAAGCCTTCATGTGATCCAAAATGCTGCAGCAAGAGTTCTGATGAAAATTAAAAAGAAATTATATCCCTCCTATCATAGCTTCTCTCCGTTGGCTTCCTGTAAAATCTAGAATTGAATTCATAATCTTCCTTCTCACATATAAAGCCTTAAATAACCAAGCCCCATGTCATATCAGAGATCTGAGATCTGTACCTTATGTTCCTAACAGAGAACTTCGCTCTCAATCTGCAGGTTTACTAGTGGTTCCTAGAATTTCTTAAAGTAGAATAGGATTCAGATATTTTAGTTAGCAGGCTCCTCTCCCATGGAACCAACTACAAGTTTTAGTCTGTGAGACAGACACCCTCTCTACTTTTAAGGCTATATGCTCCTATTAATAAAGCTTATAGCTGAACATTAGAGCATTGCACTTGGATCCTGGAGGTTCTTAGCTCAAGCTCCACTCATTCCCATAGACTGCCACTGTGGGACCCTGAGCAAGACCTTTAACCCCAGACTGCTCCCCGGGAGCCAAACAGCGGCAGCTCATTGCTCCCCAAGGGGATGAGTTTAATGCAGAGAGTGAATATCCCCATTGTGGGACAATAAAGGGATTTGCATTTATTTAAAAAAACAGAGTGATGTTTGCTTACTTGCTGGGTGAGTAGAGAGGTGGGTGGAGGTGCTGCCATAGACATTTCTGTATGTATATATATATATGTTGGAGCTTGGCTGGTTTCCGGTGTAGCCCTGTTTGTTTTACTGCTAAAGGGATTTTCCTCTTCACTGTTGTTACAAACATGCTTGGTTTGAGGGATTGCTGTAAAGTCAAAGAGTAGATGTAGTCAGCTGGTTTTTCTTTAGTCAGAAAACTTTGAACCAATTTGACTGTATCCTCTCTTCTAATTGTTTCTGTGTAGTGCCGTGAGATGACATGTGTTATGAATTGGCACTATAAACTGAGTTGAATTGAACTGAATAAAATATTAACACTTTGAAACAATATACTGCAGTTAAACATGCAATAAATAAATCATGCAATTCATATTGATGGGCTAGTTATACAGAAAAATAGGCTAGAATAGGACAGCATTAAGAATTTGTTATTTGCTAGTGCATGTTTTTAAATTGTAACAGGAAAAAATGTTGTTTCATCAGGAGTACAGCAATTTACATCCTTTTTTCAATTACCTTTAGCTGAGACAACCCAGCTAGATTAGAAAGCTAGATCATACACCACACTCAGGTTAGAAAGTATTCAGTAGATAAAATTTTCGAACCCAGCTGGGTATGACAACTTTTTTTCAGACCAGAGGGGCTAGTAGTACAAGTTTAAGAGAGCAACAGAGGATGGTGAGAAAGTTTTTTTGGCTGCAAAGAGCTCCCAACCTACCCAGGATGTGGTTTTCAAAGTTGCAGGTCACAGGTTGCCAGAACAGATTCATTAAGCCTGTGTACATAACCTGTTGAATATCAACACTACCACTAATGAAAAACTGGGTAGGAAGTTGAGGTTAGCACTGATTTTAAACACTTATACTGTTATTATTTCAGAAAAATGTTATGCCTTGATTACAACCCAATTTTGTTTTGTCTTTTTGCTGTTGCTATTGATATTTCTTTCTACTTATTTGTTTATTTTGCTCCTCTTGTAATTATCTTGGTTTTCACCTGAAGAGCAATCCAGTTGAGAAAATCTAATCTCTAAGGCATTGCAGGTCAGTGCAGGACATGAAAAACAGAAGAACTAGCAAAATTATCATCACCATTGGATAATGTCTCCCACCCAATTCATGCAGCTGCTGCATAAATGAGCTCCTTCAATGATGACTGCAACATCCTGGGTGCTAAAAAGGCTGCTATCAGAGACCCTCATCACCAAACAAAAAAACAACCTGTCATATGTGGACGCACTGTATAGACTGTATATATCCCATGCACCTCCTTTGGCACCTTCTTCTCCTTTGACTATTTGAGCTTATGTAACAAGTACATTTCTCCACTGTGAGATCAAAAAAGTCAATCAATTTTCTACCTTTGTGAGAATGTACATGCTTATGTTTGCTTTTTCACTTGCTGCTAGTGTAAGTGAATTTTCCCACATAGTTACAATCTAATTTCTATTATATTATTTTCAGATATTGTGTAAATATCGCGAAAACCAGCAAAGCAATCTTGGTAATTAAAGCATACCTGCTTAAGTTGCACACAAAACATATGTTGTTTAAGTCAGTATTAATCACAGTCATAATTACACCGATTCAAAATGCAAAAGATATTTGATTAATTCAAACAAAATCCAAAATAAAAAAAGCAAAACTGAATTTAAAACTTTTTCTTATAAAAACACAGCGGCAATTACCTCTTTTATTAAATGTGCTGAGATATATTATTGTTTTGTGAGATATCCTTTGTGAAGTTATCTATTCCTCCCTTAAACATTGTATTAAGGTTGATCTAAAAAATGTTTTGACGGGGCTGAAACGTTGGAGTTAGTCACTTTTATGACTGACTTGAAAGAGCTGTCTGCTTGAAGGGCAGGACCATGTCAAAGTCCACGTGCCTTGCTTTGAAGAGGCGTGGTTTCCCTGGTCACATGCAGGAAGCATGGTTCTTACTGTTTTTTTCAGTTTTTGTGTGTGTGTGTGTGTGTGTGTGTGTGTGTGCAACAAGCAGTGCTTGGATTCTGCCTCCAAGAGTGACGTTTGATGGCAGGAGCAGACAGCATTGTATCTTAAAACGCATTCTCTCCAAAGCGCTGTCAGCTCCCTTTTTTATCAGGCAGAGCGAAGACCCGCATGTTATTATATGAAAAAAGGAGGGAAGAGTTCTTTCATCAGCTCCTGCAGACTGCTCACATATGCAGTCTGCTCCTCCCACAGGAGGATGTTGGAGATTAGGATGATGGTGATTTTGGTGAAAATAATGACGTGACGATTGACTAGTCCCGGATGCATTATTGGGCAATTCTTTGGTCGGGCAGTTTTTATGCCTGAGATAAGTGTGCAGACTACTGCTGCTGCAGCTCAACATGCACAGGCAAATTCCCTCTAAAGGAATCTGTGGTGAATATTTCATGCACCTCTGTGGCTTTTGACTAATTTTGCAAATGATAACCAGACAATAGCATTTTGACCAGAAAAAAACTGATAGTTTTAATAATAATGGTGATTTATGAGTTTTTGCATAAATAACATATACAATACTAACTTTACATCTTAAAATACAATTTAAAGCTGAATAATGTTTCGGACTGCGCAATAATATTATGTTTTTTGCAGGGGCGGAGCTAGATGGGGGGTCAGGGGTGGCCATGGCCACCCTTAGCCAATCATTAGTCACCCCTGTGGCCACCCCTACCATTTTTTCCCCTCTGATACAGATGGTGGCAGCAGTAATACTCTCAAATGGAATGTTCAAAACATTTTAATTTTTTGATATATTAACAGTTACTTGACAACAAAAACACTGTGGTTTATTATGCACATCAATATACTAATATTAAAGATAATAATTACTGTATTCAGGCTATTTTCATAACTAGATTTTGTGTTTTACACATATATAGGCTATAAAAGAAAATGCAAGTCAGGAGTCTTAGGTTAAATCACAAATAAATAAATATTTTTAATAAAAACGTATTAAATAATCAATTTATGACTTTATTGATCTCACAGTGTAAAAATTTGCTTCATGTAGATATTAGTCCTTGTAAATATCAATTTTATGAAGAATGATTATTGATAAAAGTAGATAAGTATTAACAATGGAAAAAATTTTCGCCCGGGAGGTTAACCCTGAAAGAATTTTATCCACTATACCTTTTATCTAGGAAGCATGGATGTTTAAATATGTGCATCCATTTGTTAGCAAAGGCTTTTGGAAAGTAAAGTTAGTTTTAATTTAGAAAATATGGATGTTTTGCTCATTAATTTTTCTGTTGGAATAGTGTAGATTGACCCTGAGGTTCTATCCGCTCATTGGTTATTGCCTGGCCACCCTAATAAACATTTTCTGCCTACTCCTCTGGTTTTGTGACTGTTTGGGGCAAATTTAAGTTCCAAAACAAACATCAGTGTACATCTGATGTAAGCACACAAAAAAACCCAACACATCTGTTATTGCCTTTGTATCTAAATGAATGCAATAATTTGTGAAGGCTGGGTTGCATTAAATTACCCAAATTCTCATGCAAAACGGTGCAGGGTCGATTAGTTTGGATCACTCTCAGGCCTTCTACCTATTCTCCTGCTATATTGACAACCTCTCCCTTTTCAGCTTGCATGACTTGAGCTCTCACTAGCGCTACTAGTGGACAATCAAACCTACACACCCACCTCCAGACACACTCGCATTTCTCATTTCTTACTTCTAGTCTAAATTAGATAGCAGGACGTAGTGTCCGACCTCACAGATCGCCGATAGTTAGTTAAAAGCCTTATCTTTAGTTTGATAGTGAATCTGAAGCAGGAGAGAGAAATCAACATGGAGTCCCCTCCAGATCCAGCGAGCGACCCGGGCAACAGCGCCTCGGAGCCGGCTACCCCGGTCAGGGAAACCCCGGTAAACCTGGAGACGCTCCGAAAAGCGGAGCATCCAGCCCCGGTTCGGAAGCAGAGCTGCTCCAGCACCAACAGAGGTAAGCGAGCTGCAAATGGACAGTTTCAGCGTAATGGGGGAAAACGATCCGATGGCGTTTTTTTCTAATCCAACTTCAAAATGAATCAGATCATATATCCTCATGATAACTGCACGCCGTGTTTCATTTATCCAATACTTTATTTTTCTCTTGTTGCTTAGATATGCACGATCAGGGGCATTTTTTTTCCACTTTGATTGCAATTATCGCTTCGGTTTGTGTGCGTCTATGTGCGCGCTGCTCCGCTGACAGCCAAAATCATGGGGGGTGGGGGGTGATACGGTCACAGATGTCACATTTACTCCGACTGCAAGATTAATCAATTATCCAGGAACTCAGACTCCACTATCAGGAGCTACTCCCATTGCACTAACAGGCCAACCTGTGCGCTCAGGCGCTTTGTTGGCAAAGTGTCGAAAGTGAACTTTGGGGAAACTGTGGGTTAGTTTATCGATCAGTCCTCTTCTGTTTGGTTACAGGGACGTTTTCCCCTCTAACAGCGTCATCTGGCTGTTTTATCCACTCATTTAGGCTGTTCCATTCTGCAAAAAAAAAGACGCACTAGGAGCTTTTTTATTTATTGTTGCAAAGCAGGAGCTGCAAATATATTTTTGCAACCCAAATAAAACCAAACAAGCCCTCAAATATCATATTTATCCATCATGTCCCGTCCATGTTTTACAGTACAAGACAGTGTGTTTAACCACACCCCCTCTCTACTGTCTCCAGTATAACCAAGTTCAAAGAAATGAGGATTTCTCTGCCGATTCCGAGCAAGCAGAGTTCACATTGCGCTGAGGTGTAGGTGGAACAATTATTTCATTGAAGTGCGGGCTTTGCATGCGTCTGCTCTCCTCCTGCGCTTCGCGCAAAGGGGTATATTTAGAATGTGATATGGTGAATGTGGAATGTAAGCTGGTTATGTAACAGGTTTAGCCATAAACAGAGGCGCGCAACCGAGAGCAGAAATCATCCTCATCGCGGATCTGTTCACTCTAAAGGAATAGTGTTCACCCACTCCTTCACTGCGATTGTCTACTTTAATCATAAATAAGGGAGTCCACTTATAGCGGGTATTTATACACCACTTGCAGGCGATACTGTGGGACTTTTTGTGGGCTGGCGCACGCTGCCTGAGCGCTTATGTAATAGAAAAGGCCGAGACAGGTGGTTTGGAAGATTCCTGGATTGATTTCTTCTTTCACAAGTTTGACTTTGAAACACTCCTAACCTGCTGACCCATATACACCCCACCCTTTTTACGCTTTGGATTAAAGTGCGCCAGGAAAGGAGAAAGACGGAGAAAAGAACGCCTTTGGTGTGTTATGTAATGCTGAATGGCTGGAAAAAAATCAGTGAGACAATCACTGAACTATGAAAAGATTCCCTAGCCACTCTAAAAGTTTATTTCTCCTCTTTTACAAAATAGTAAGAGTAGGTATAGAGATGGCTTATAATAAGAGTTAAGAAAACTTTTTTGAAAACTTCTAAAATTAAAACATGCCTGATAAATAGGTAGATTTCTTTTAAATAAAAACATGCTAACATATTTGCAGAGATGGTTTCATTATAATACATCTAATGAAGTGTATTTTTGATTGTTAGACTTGTTTAAAAATACCTTACACTGAAAAAGCACACTGCTGGTGTGGTGTTTAACTAATAAGATAGTTGTAAATGTGCACATCTTATTGTGTTAGATTTGAATTAAAGCACATAACTGATTAATTTACACTCCCATTATTAAAAGAAAAAATAAAATCTAAATGTTAAGATTATGTTTCCCAGCTTGTAAAAAGACACACAAAGAAAAAAGGATCAAATTATGATTCATGTGTGAGAAATTACAGACTTTCTTCATTTCTTCTATAAGGTTTCATGCAGTTTCTTTCAAAAGTAAACCCAGCTGGGTTGATTGGAAACAATCATTTCAGTGGTGGAAATTATTAAAGTGCACCTGGAAAAGTTTGACTTTAGCAGTAGCTTGCTTAGCAAAAGTAGAATATGTACATTTCATATAAAGGTGTCGTGTGAATTTTAGTCTTGGGTCTCTCTTAGAAGATAGGTTTGACACTAAGCACTATTTATTAAGGCAGAATAAAGTTTTAAACTCTGTTCTAGAAAAAGGGTCCAACCCCTCCCCCCCACCACACACAAATAAAGCTTAGGTGGAGCATTTTATCTGTAAGAACTGCGGTTAAAGAAAAATAAGTTTGCAAACAGTTTTTTTGTGTGTGTGTGTCTTTTTGCTGCACTAGTGGATAATTTTTTCAACACTAGGCTGACAGGAAAGGGGGTACGAGAGAGGGGTAGAGACATGCGGCAAAGGACCACTGCACCACCTTCACGTCTGCAAACAGTTTCAAGTTTAAAATGAACACAAATAACCTCATTAAAGCAACATCTAAACCTTTGGATTCAAAGTAACACTATAGCATGTAACCCCTCTGGTTTAAAATCACAGCTTACGTGTGACTCCCATTGACAAAACTTAAAGCTACAGTGTGTAATAATTACAGGCATATAAAGTCAGAAATTTAATATATTATACATAACTATGTTATTTATCATCACCTATGAGCTCAGCCTTTTAACCATAATATTTGCGTTGCCTTAGAATTCGTTATTTATAATTACATAGGAGCGGGTCTCGCAGCCATGGAGGCAGACATCTTTGCGCTACGGCAAGCGCAGAGGCAACAAACTAGCGATTGCGAGATCTCCCATGACGCTCAAAAATAACTACGGCAAGTTGAGAGAGATTAACTGAGACGGTACTGAACAGTAGATGGCAGTATTATGCCTGAGAAGCGTTTAGTCTGCCTGAAACCAAAGAAGAAGAAGAAGCAGGTATACTGCGCCTCAGTAACAAGAAAGGTGAACAAGGCAGCAGGCGTGAGTGACTTTGCAAACTGTTTGGCACTGTGTGGCCAAACATCAGACGAATGGAGGATCATGCCTACTCTGTATCACAACGAAAAGCGGCGGACACTGAACCCCCGTCATCTAAGAAGCGGAAACACGACGAGAATAAACGCAAGCGTGACAAGAAACGATAAAAAACACGGATCAACATTGGCACGGCATTTACACGATGGAAGTCACTGATGGAGGAAAAAGGTTTTCAAAGTGACGCTCAAGTTGCCAGTTTTCTCTTGGACAGGTAATTAATCCTACACACACAATTGTCTAATATCACTGCAGTTTTTGGAGTACAGGATGCTCAGACCTGTCTAAAACAATAACATGCTGCGTGATAATGCTGTTACTCTCCAGTATACTTATTCAGCAACGTCCCTGACGTTTCATAGGTAATGATTCAGTAATTTTCTGTAAAATAATTTTCTGGATATATACCTCGGTTACTTCTCTCCGGCTCCTTTGGAGATCTTCAAGCCTTTCCTCCTCTGCTCTCACCCCGCTGGCTCCCCTCTCTCGCCTGGCCCTAGCTGCACGCCCTCGCCCTCTTCTTCTCCCTCTCCCTCGCGTTGTAACCCCCGTGCCACCAAAATGACTTGGACTCTGTAAACGGGGAATATATATTCTTCCAGCGAACACAATCTCGCTGTTAAACTAATGACTACAATTACTTCGTCTGTTTATATCACCATGCAAAGCAGCTCACCAAGACGTCACAACGATGTAGAAAAAATAACGGGTATATTTATTATCTTAAGTCTACATGAAATCTATACCCTACACAGACTAATGAAATACTATCTGTAAAATTATCTATGTAAACAAACCTCATCACTTGAGAGGGTAGGTGATGTGGACGTCGTGGAAGAAATTTTGTCCCGTAACGCTCGACGTACTGTTGGGGGGGAGAAGCGGTGGGGGGGAGATGTTCATGTTGCTGCGGTCTGTAGTCTGACCGCTAGATGTCGCTGAAAATTACACACTGTAGCTTTAATTGTATTGAGGAGTATGGCTGGGTAAAAAAAATCGATTTGAATCGATTCCTTTGCATTTTTGAAAAATCGATCTCTAGGGAATGAGATCGATTCATTTTATAGTGACCTGCGTGACGTTCACATTCAAATTAGCAGTAAAGATGCACTCAAGATTACTTTAAGTCAGACAGCTGCAAATATACCCAATAGGTTGACTGAAGACATTAACAAATGGAGGCTGACTAGAAAACACCCTGTAGTTGTTACAGACAACGCTGCAAATATGGTTTGTGCATTGAAGATACCACGTCTGCTTGCTCGCGTGATGCTTCACTTTTTCTATTTTCACAAACAAGTTTGCACTTTTGAGACAGTTTTGTTCACATCTCATGTTTAAACTTTCTGATTTACAAGTTTGCAGTTTGTATTTAATGTGACAGGAAAAACTAAAATACATGAGTATTTTGAAACACAGTTGAACCATTTTCATTACTGTAAAAACAGATCGAATCAAAATTAATCAATTTAGAACTGTATGAATCAAAATTGAATCGATTCAGGACTTTGGCGAAAATACCCAGCCCTATTGAGGAGCTCATCCTACTAGTTCGATGTTAGCTCTGATGCTAAACTAGCAAAAGCTGGATACAGGCTAAGTTTAAATTCTTTAAATTCTTGAACGCAAGCCATTCTGCAGTTTCCTATTCATTTATAATACCACCAATAAAATCATAAGAACATTTCTGTTCTCTGTTGCACTCCATGCATGAAAACTAAAAACAGCTAATAGAGGCTTGAACCAAAAGTTGTAATCGGAGGGTTTAGAAAGGATCCACAGCTTTTTAGGTCCGTCGCAGAAAAAATACATGACTGAATGCTTTCTGAAGCAATTATATATTCTGACAGTACTGACTAAAGCCTGTGTTGATATATTTTTACTAGTGTATATTTTAAGGGGGTTACCGTAGAAGTTTTGCTAAGATTTGTGGCGGGTCAGGAAAATGGCATTAAGGGTGCGCTATATTTTTTGGTGAGATTGAATAGGTGTGATAATTGTTTATGGTAGAGTTCTGTGTTTAAAAAAGATGAAACCTAATATTTACACAT